TTTTCTGAAGAAGGTTCCAGACCTGAAACGTCAGCTTTCCTGCTCCTCTGATGCTGCTTGGCCTGCTGTGTTCATCCAGCTCTACACCTTGTATTCTCAGATTCTCCAGCATTGGCAGTTCCTACTATCTCTGCTGTATGATTGGTTTCGTTTCAGGCTGGGGCAGGTATAGAACTGATTGTAATTAGTATTGAGACCAATGTTCTGTGTGAATTAATTCAATTCAAGCGGTCTTAGGAAGAAAATATGGAATCAACTACTTGGAAGCAAATTGTAGAATCTTAGAATCACCCTGGAAAGTAAGAACATAAATATAAAATATATCTTGAAGATGGGAAAAAAATTGAGAAGGCTGTTATGAAGGCACTTGGTTTCCTTGTCTTGGTTATAGCAGAATAAAGTGAAGAAGTGAGGAAGGTTTACTAATTCACAACAAGTGAAAAACACTGACAAAGAACTGATGTCAGATATGCTGGTTCACTTAAAGTTTATTAATCACCAGGATCAGTTCAAATGGATCCAGGTATGTTAGAGGAATACGGATGGTGACTGCTGAGTAAATGGCCAAACGTTCCCAATCTTCTTTAAATATATAGTTAGCACCAGAGGACTGGTGGGTACACTTTGCATTACACAGCATTGAAAACAAGCCGTCCAGCCAACTTAGCTAACTGACACTCAACCCAAAAGATAGGTTAAGTATGTTCCGCCCTTACTCAATAGATTGTGATATTAATCCGAGAAACTACAATCCGTGTTGTGACCTTGTTCAAATTGTCATGAACAATTGCAAATATTTAAAGGATCCAGAAGGAAGTTATCCATCGCTGTTGAGCAATGCAAATTAGAACAAACTGAAATACTGAAACATATTATGGCCAAATTAAAAAGAGAGGCCATAGGCTTCAAACTGAGTGTTCGTTGTTGTTTGCATAGATATTCCTTCAGATTATGCTTGGATGTTCTGAAGGAAAACTCGAAAAAGCAACTTGTGTTTGTCAGCTTTGAGTGGGGTAAATGAAAAAGCACTGATGCAAGGAGTTTGTTACCATGTATAGAATATTATAACACAAAATAACAGGGGAGGCGATGGCCTAGTGCGATTATCACTAGACTGTTAATCCAGAGACCCAGATAATATTCTGGGGACTCAGGCTTGAATCCCGCCACAGCAGCTGGTGGAATTTGAATTCAATTTAAAAAAATCTGGAATCAAGAATCTAACAATGATGACAAATCCATTGTCAATTTTCAGAAATACCTCTCTGGTTCACTAATGCTCTTTCGGGCAGGAAACTGCCATCATTATCTGGTCTGGCCCACATGTGACTCCAGACCCACAGCAATGTGGTTGAGTCTGAACTGCCCTCTGGGCAATTAGGATTGGGCAATAAATGCTGCCTAGCCAGCGACGCCCTCACCGTGTTAATGATTAAAAGAAAAAAATATATATACAGAGGTCACTTTCTGACCAAACCAAGTTGAAATAGAAAGCAGATTCAAACTGCAGAACATACAAGAGGTGGATATCAGGTGAGGAGGAAGTAGATTCGCAGGTAGGTAAAGTTTTAAGTAGGTATAGGCGTAAGGCACCAAGTAAGTCAAATGCAAGATATGTACAGGGCAGGGTGCTAGGTAGGTACATTTGAGATACATAGTAGGTAGGCTGCCAGATGGGGTACAAAGTAAGGGGTACACCAGATACATCATTTGCTGAGAGCTGAGGTGAGAGGATCATGTCTGATAGCTGGAAAGAGTTGTTTAAGACGGCGAGGCAGGTGGTGTCAGGTGCTGATGGAATAGAACAAAGAACAAAGAAAATTACAGCACAGGAACAGGCCCTTCGGCCCTCCAAGCCTCTGCCGATCCAGATCCTCTACCTAAACCTGTCGCCTATTTTCCAAGGATTTGTATCCCTCTGCTCGCTGCCCATTCATGTGTCTGTCTAGATACATCTTAAATGACGCTATAGTGCCCGCCTCTACCACCTCCGCTGGCAACGCGCTCCAGGCACCCACCACCCTCTGCGTAAAGAACTTTCCACGCATATCTCCCTTAAACTTTTCCCTCTCACCTTGAAATCGTGACCCCTAGTAATTGAGTCTCCCACACTGGGAAAAAGCTTCTTGCTATCCACCCTGTCCATGCCTCTCATGATTTTGTAGACCTCAATCATGTCCCCCCTCAACCTCTGACTTTCTAATGTAAATAATCCTAATCTACTTAACCTCTCTTCATAGCTAGCGCCGTCCATACCAGGCAACATCCTGGTGAACCTCCTCTGCACCCTCTCCAAAGCATCCACATCCTTTTGGTAATGTGGCGACCAGAACTGTACGCAGTATTCCAAATGTGGCCGAACCAAAGTCCTATACAACTGTAACATGACCTGCCAAGTCTTGTACTCAATACCGTGTCCGATGAATGAAAGCATGCCGTTTGCCTTCTTGACCACTCTATCGACCTGCATTGCCACTTTCAGGGTACAATGGACCTGAACACCCAGATCTGTCTGTGCATCAATTTTCCTCAGGGCTTTTTCATTTACCACATAGTTCGCTCTTGAATTGGACCTTCGAAAATGCATCACCTCGCATTTGCCTGGATTGAACTCCATCTGCCATTTCTCCGCCCAACTCTCCAATCTATCTATATTCTGCTGCATTCTCAGACAGTCCCCTTCACTATATGCCATTCCACCAATCTTCGTGTCATCTGCAAACTTGCTAATCAGACCATCTATACCTTCCTCCAGATCATTAATGTATATCACAAACGACAGTGGTTCCAACACGGATCCTTGTGGAACACCACTGGTCACAGTTCTCCATTTTGAGAAACTCGCTTCCACTACAACTTTCTGTTTCCTGTTGCCCAGCCAGTTCTCTATCTATCTAGCTAGTACACCCTGGACTCCATGCGACTGGTGACATGGTGTCGGTCTGGAGCAAGAGCTTGTTGGCGCTAGTGATCAGACTTTGTTAAGTCTCAAGTATGTGAGGGGAATATTGGGACTGGGGTCCTAATGCACTTCAGGTCCGGGGGAAAATATGGGAAATACCGGAGAAGGGAGCAGGGGGATGGTGGGAATCAGATCTCAGGGGCTGCAGGAGCTGTGTCTTGAAGTAGTAGGTGTGCTGGATCCTAGAGTTGAGATTGGAGGTAGATTGAGGTTCACAGGTTTCTCTGGGGAGAGGGCGGAGATTGTGAGTGCACGTGTGCGTGTATTTGGAGATGGAGCAGTTCTGTTTGTTGTAATTTGTGAATCAGATGTTTAGTTTGCTCAGGAATCAGATTAGGTACTCAATAGTCTAATCTTTCTTGAGTTACTATTTACTTAACTGCAGCAGGACCACCTAAACTCTCCAAGATAAAAGAAGACTTTCAGAGGTTTCCAGGCATACAGGGATTTCCAGTGGAATCTTCAATCTCTAGATCTGTTATCCTAGGGACTCAACAAGGTCCCATACTGCAACTCGCATCCACATGTCAGAAATAATTCTTTGACCAGCAAAAAATACCCCAGGACAAAATGTGGTATTTCCTGATCATGGAATTAAATTGGATCAAACAGACATTCCAACCTTCATCTGTTTGATGTCTGAAACACTACGATGTGCAATTTCAAAAGACTTGTCTGTCTTTTTTAAAAATTAGCTATAAGCATTTTCATTTTTCCTACCAAGAAAGCATGTGCAATAAATAGGGATTTTCAGATAACATTTGTGCAAATTTAGCACCTTATGTTATGACACAGACACATTGTATCTGTGCAGTAAATTCAACCTTTTATTTAACAGTTAACTTGATGGCAATCACAATCCTATCTCGCAGAACCTGTGGACTCTCCAAATGTGTCAATCGTTACTTGGTGGCCATGGCTGCAGCAGATCTTCTGGTTGTCATCACCGATGTAATGTTGAGATGGTTTATCATTTACTTTCCAGTTTCCTTCCTGGATATTACTTTTGTATGTAGTTTGGTAGAAGTGCTTATGTTTGCCACCACAGTGTGTTCAGTATGGCTCACGGTTGCTTTCACCTTTGATCGATTTGTGGCTATTTGTTGTAAGAAGCTAAGAACAAAATACTGCACTGAGAAAATGGCACTAGTGGTTATTGGAACAGTGAGTGTGCTGGTCTGTTTGGAAAGCATTCCCTGGTTCTTCAAGTACAGAGCTAAATACACCTTCAATAACCTGGAGTGGTTTTGCATCAAAAAAGCAGAATATTACACTTCAATCTTCTGGACTGTATATGTACTTCTCCATCGCTTTCTAACTCCATTAGTTCCATTTCTTTTGATTGTTCTCTTTAACATTCTGACAGTCAGACACATCTTCATGGCAAGTAAAGCCCGCAGGAGACTCTGGATGGAAACTGAGAGGGAGGGTCCCAGTGACCCAGAGATGGAAAGGCGCAGAAAGTCTGTCATTTTACTCTTTTCTATCTCAGGCAGTTTCATCCTGTTATGGATGACTAATGTTACATGTTTCATCCATCAGCGAATTGCATTTGTGTATGGTTCATCTCCACCTTCACCCACTATGGGTACAATTGGATACCTGCTCCAGCTCCTCAGTACCTGCACAAACACTTGCATCTACACAGTGACCCAGAGTCAGTTCCGAGAGCAGTTAAAAACAGTTGTCAAATATCCTTTCAGTTTGATTCTCAAAGCTATCAAACTATGAGCACGACTTTTATGTCATTTTGTCATTATCAGAATTCATGTTGATCTTATGGAAAAATATTTAATAAAAGTTGTTGCAAGCAGGGAAAAGACAGTGGAGTTAGGCAGCGAGTGACAAGAAGATCCAGAGGCAGTCAGCACCAGTTAGGGAAGCGAGTGAGATTAGGACCTAAAGAAAGTCAGTATCAGTTAAATAGTGTGCAAAAGCAAGATCTGGACACAGACTGTACTTGTTAGAATAGTGCGTTGAAGGATTGCACAAGCATTCAGTCAATTGAATAAGCAGAGAGAGGACCCATACAGTCATCGAGATCCACAGCAAAGAGAAAGACCCTTCATTCCACTGTGCCTGTGCCATTCAAAAACAGCAACCTATCCTTATCCTATTTTCCAGCATTTGGCCATAGCAAGTGCTCATATAAATATTTTTTACATGTTAGGAAGGTTCGTGACTATAGATAAGCAAGATGGAGGCAGTCAATGTCAGTTGGAGGATGAAGTGATTGGAAAACCAGAGCCAGTCAGCATTGCTTATTGGAGCTATCCAGGAGGACAGCAGACATGTTCTGAGAGAAATCAAAGCCTGACATCTTAGGAAAGCAAAGTGACAATTTGATGGTGGATATTTTGCTCGTTGATCTTCAAAATCTCTTTGAATCGGTGAATAAAAGTTGTCAAAGTAAGGTTTGAGCAACACTAATGCCTACTGATAGTAGTGTTTGATCATGATAATTTGTATGTTTATCCTATTCAAAAGGAGTAAAGTTTATTGCTTTCCGAGATTTGAGTTATAATGTTATTAAGTACTGAACAAAGGCATTAATTAATAAATTACTTAATTGAATCCTATTTAGGTTTGCAGGACATGAGGCATGTTGTGATTGCAGAATGTGAGATCTCCTGGACACCAGTGTCATCCAGGACAACCACCACTACAGTAGTGTTAAACGGAAATAGATTCAGATGGTCTGGTGGCCAAATTACAATTGCTGGAATATTACCTGAGCCACACACATTTCGGATTAACGAAGTGAAGGCAGGGCCCAAATGTAAGTTTGTTCTGGTTCATGGAGCACTGGCACCAGTACTAGTGAAAGAAGGGCCATGTCACGGGTATGATTTACAGCTGAACAATGGTGATTCCATGAACCACATAGTTAGGCCAAGGCAGAGGGCTTTAAACCAAACAGTGAGCCAAGGAAAGCAACTTGGAGAGATATTGTAAATCAAAGAACAGAGACAAGACAGCAGAGAATAACACTGAATGGGAAATTATAAACAGACCATGACAGGAGGAGATAAAAGTAAAAATCTCAGAGTACATCAACAGATAAGGCTAGACATTCCAAAATAATGAAAGGAAATCTAAAGGCTATGTATCTGAAAGCACATAGCATTCAAAACAGCTTTGCTGATATTACAAACACAAATAAAGAACGATCAGATAGTCATTATTGTTACAACTTATCTTATGCCATACTATCTTAAATATGATATCTTAAACTGTCTTGCCATATTTAATACACACAAGAACTATCCACCCATAACCCAGTAACATTGCTCAATTCCATGTCGATGCATCACACTATTTTAAATGACCAATATCATCCTTCCAAAGTGCAATTATTTCATTAGGTACAGGAGCAAAATTAGCTATTCAGCCCATTGAGTCTGCTCCGTCATTCGTCAATGGATGATATTTTTCCTCAACTCCATTCCCCTGTCTACTACTTGCAAATTTTAATCCTCTTACCAATTCAAAAGAAAATCTATCTCTGTCTTCAACACTCTCAATGACTTTGACTCCACTGCTTTCTGTAGAAATCAGTTCCACAGATTCATCACCCTCTGGCTGAAAATATTCCTCCTCATCGCAGTTCTGAGTGGTCATCCCTTCACTGAGGCTGTGCCTTCAGGTCCTAGTCTCTCCTACAAGTGGAAACCTCTTCTTCATGTCTATTGTTTCCAGGCCATCTGTGCTCGAGCTCTATCGCTATCAAGTTCCCAGATATTTCATTGCAGAGAATGTTGCAGAGACAACTATCACTGTCCCTGGATATGTCCTGCCCCATGGCAGGAGAGACCCAGCAGAGGTGGTGACACACTGGTATACAGGCAGGAGGGAGTTTCCCTGGAATCCTCAACATTTACGCTGGGTCTCATGAAGTCTCACGAAATCAGATTAAACACAGAGAAGCAAATCTCTTGCTGTTTAGCATATTCTGTTCTGACTCTGCTGATGAATTAGTATTCCTCTTCTTGAATAACACTGAGAGTAGCAAGCACACAAATTCCACTCTGGCTGGGAAGTTAAATGTTCACCACCAGGAGTGGCTCAGCACTTGTGATCAAGCTGCTCGCGTCCTAAAGGATACTGCTGCTCGACTGCATCTGTGGTGGGTGGTGAAGGAACCAATAAGAGTGAAAAATATACTTGGCCTCATCCTTACCAACCTGCTGGCTGCAGGTACATCAGTGCATGACCATATCTGTGAGGATGACCTCCGCATAGTCGTTGTGGAAACAAAGACCCACCTTGACATTGAGAATACCTTCCGTTATTTTGCGTAGCACTATCACTGTAGTAAATGGGACAGATTTCGAAAAGATCCAGCAACTCAAGATGGGCATCCATGAGTTGTTTTTGGCAATTAGCAGCATCAGAATCATACACAAATCTGCAACCTCGTGGCCCAGAAACTCCCCTTTTCAACCATTACCATCAAGCCAGAGTTTCAACCCAAGTCCAGTCAAGAGGGCAGGAGCAGCACAAGGCTCACCAAAAATGAGTTGTCAACCTGGCGAAGCTACCAAGCAGGATTTATTGCATGCCAAACAACATAAGCAGCAAGTGATAAAATGACCTAAGTGATCCCACAATGGCTCAAATCTAACATATCCAGTAATGCATTGTGATAGACAATTAAAAAAAAAACTGACTGGAGAAGTTGGAGGCACAGCAATACCTCTATCCACAGCTATGGAATATTGCAGGTCTTCATTGCAAAAGAAAAGTCTGAAGCATTCACAACAATCTTTACTCAAATAGGCCATCCTGGCCTGCTCCAGTGGCCCCAACATCACAGATGCCAGTGTTCAGCCAATTTGCTTCACTCCACATGATATAAAGAAACAGTGGGAGGCAGTGAATACTACAAAAGATACATAAGAACATAAGAACTAGGAGCAGGAGTAGGCCGTCTGGCCCTTCGAGCCTGCTCCGCCATTCAATAAGATCATGGCTGATCCTTTCGTGGACTCAGATCCACTTACCCGCATTCTCACTGTATCCCTTAATTCCTTTATTGTTCAAAAAATATCTACCTTTTTTTTAGAAACATTTACTGAAGTAGCGTCAACTACTTCACTGGGCAAGGAATTCCATAGATTAACAACCCTCTAGGTGAAGAAATTCCTTCTCAGTTCATTCCTAAGTCTGCTCCCTCTAATCTTGAGGCTATGCCCTCTTGTCCTAGCTTCACCTGCCAGTGGAAACATCTTCTCTACTTCTATCTTATCTATTCCCTTCATAATTTTATATGTTTCTATAAGATCCCCCCTCAATCTTCTGAATTCCAATGAATATAATCCCAATCTACTCAGTCTCTCCCCATAAGCCAACCCCCTCAACTCCGGAATCAACCTAGTGAACCTCCTTTGCACCCCCTCCAGTGCCAATACATCCTTTCTCAAGTAAGGAGACCAAAACTGCACACAGTACTCTAGGTGTGGCCTCACCAGCACCTTGTACAGCTGCAACATAACCTCTCTGCTTTTTATTTCAATCCCTTTAGCAATGAAGGACAAAATTCCATTTGCCTTCCTAATTACTTGTTGTACCTGCAGACCTACCTTCTGTGATTCATGCACAAGGACACCCAGGTCCCTCTGCATAGCAGCATGCTGCAACTTTTTACCATTCAAGTAATAATCCTTTTTACTATTACTCCTACCAAACTGTATGACTTCACATTTATTTACATTGTATTCCATCTGCCAGACCTTTGCCCACTCACTCAATGTATCTATGTTCCTCTGCAAAGTTTCACAGTCCTCTGCACATGGGTCTGCATATGGGTCCTGACAATATTCTAGCAGTAGTACTAAAGACTGGTGCTTTAGATCTTAACCCCAGCCAAGCCGTTCTAGTTCAGTTTCAACACTGGCATCTACCTGACAATGTGGAAAATTAGTCAAGTGTGTCCTGTACATAAAAAGCAAGACAAATCATCCTGGCCAATCACAGGCCCAGCAGTCTACTCTCGATCATCAGTAGAGTGATAGGAGCTATCATCAACAATGCTATCAAGCATCACATGTTCAGCATCTTCAGTTTCTTCATCAATGAACTTCCCTCCACCATAAGGCCAAATGTGTGGTTGTACACTGATAATTGCACAATGTTCGTCACCATTCATGACTCCTCAGACACTGAAGCGGTCTACGTTCCAAAGCAACAAGGCAATATCCAGGCTTGTGCTGAGAAGTGAAAATTATTCTTTGTACCACACCATATCCATCTCTAATTAGAGACAAATTAATCACTGCCCTTTGACATTCACTCACTGAATTCCCTATTATCAATTTGCTTGGAGTTACTGTTGACCAGAAACTCAACTGGACTCACCATATAAATACAATGGCTACAGGAGCAAATAAGAGGCTTGGAATATTGCTGCGGGTATTTCACTCCCTGACTTCTGAAGCCAGCCCCAATGTACACTCAACAATTCAGGAGGGCGATGGAATACTCTCCACTTGCCTTGAAGCTCCAACAACACTCAAGAAGATTGACACCATCCAAGACAAAGCAGTCTCCCTGTTTGGCACCAAATCCGTAAGCATTCACTCCCTCCACTGCTGATGCTTAATAGCTGTAATGTGTACTATCTACAAGATGCGCTGCAGAAATTTGTCCAAGATTCTTAGACAGCACCTAAAAAAATCGGACCTACTTACATCCAGAACCATGAGGGCAACAGATACATAGGAACGCCAGCA